AGTATGTTATGCCAATTGAACTTGATGTCCCCTGCGACTATGGTCCCAAGCCCGCAGGTTCAACTACTCAGTCCCTCTGGGTAGCTGTCTGTGACCAAGAAGTGACTACAACCTTGTCTATTTAGGAGCCTTTTTAAACAGTAAAATCACCAATAAAAAGCACAAAAATGTGAAAAATGTGGCTCTAAGTAGACTGTGGAAAGAATATTTATTTACAGTCAGAGAGCTGAAACAAGAAAGTGGATCATAGTCTTGTTCTACTTCGGCTGGAGCACCAGGCAACTCAAAGTTTTGACTATTCTGTGCATGTCCATAAATGACTGCAAAAGTGCTGTGAGTATTGATTTTGAGGTTACAAGTAAATTTTACCACGTAGGCAATACAAAACCAAAACACTAAACTCACTGCCGTCGAGTCGGATCTGACACATAGCGACAACTCCTTGGGTTTCCCAAGATGGTATCTCTATGGAAGTAGATTGCCTAATCTTCCTTTCGTGGAGTGGTTGGTGGGTTTGAACTGCCAGCCTTCTGGTTAGCAGTCAAATGCCTTAGGCACTATACTACCAGACATAATCTGTGAATAATGAGGACTTACTGCATATGATGGGGCATTTGGGTAGTGCCTGCACCCCAAACCAGAGCACTCACTGACCTTTCCCCATATGCTACTGTAGTGCCTCCCCTGCGAGGGAAGAATTCTTACACAATTAGCTTGAGGACAAAGTCAGGGAGATCTAGCACTGCCCAGCTCTGTGCTTGCAGGATCTCATCAATTGATGCAGATCTGAAGGAGGGGCCCTGCAGCTAGCAAGGCAGCCAGCTATAATGACTTTCCCATCATCCCTGCCCTTCTGCCTTCCCTCCAGTCCTAGGGCTGAAGCTCAGCTGAGTGTCCTAGTTGGGTATAAGACTACTAACTTGTGTGGCAAGTCTTGGCTGGGTGCCCCTTGGCAGTGGACCCATGAGGGGAAGGACTTACAAATTCATTGCTCTTTTTGTACATGTTGTCCTCCAGGTGACAGCGGCCATCATTGGGGGTCAGGATAGCACCCAGTTTCCCATCACCGGCGATGTGGAAGCCGTCGTCTGTGGCATACACAAGTAGACGTGTGACATTGCGCCAGCCAATTTCCTCCTGGGAAGAAAGCAGCTGCAGTTGTCTGACTGTTTCCCTAGCTTGTGCCCAGGACCAGCAGGTTTTCATGGCAGAAGGACCAAAAGAGTGAATGAAGGCCACCGGACACAGCTCACCCACCTGTGGGTTTTTGGTGTCTGCTTCAGACTAGTGCATGGAAGGCTCTGGAGAAATGCTTGTCAAGACCACAAAATTTAAATATCAAATAAGTAGATATGGGAGGGTGAGGGAAATTGAAATGCCTGTTTAAATTTTAAAAAGACACATCTTCCTTAGCCCCCCAAAATTTCAGACCTGGGAATAAATCCTAAGAAAAGAATCCTAAGGAAGAAAAAGTATACAAAAAGAAGAAAAAATATATATGCAGAAATGTTTACTACAATGTTGTTGTTGTTGTTGTTGTTGTTATGTGCCGTTGAGTCGGACCCGACTCATAGTGACTCCTCCTTGGGTTTCCGAGGCGGTATCTCTACGGAAGTAGATTGCCCAACCTTCCTTCTGAGGAGTGGCTGGTGGATTTGAACCGCCAGCCTTCTGGTTAGCAGCCAAGTGCCTTAGGCACTATGCTAAAACACTGTAAAGAGGAAATAACATATAACTTCAGAGATAGTACAACAGGGAGTTAAGTCTTTTGAAATGTTTCCTCGAAGAAATGTATGTTTAGCAGCAGACACATCACAAACTGATAACATACAAACATTTAAAAGTGTATTTACAATATGATTATAAAGTGTCACAGGGCTGACAGAGAAGCTGGAGAGTCCACTACTGGTTTGTTACAGTGGCAAATTTGCTCAGTGATTCAAGCACTGGGAGTGTGGGTTCTTGTAGCAAAGGTGTTATAAATACCCCAGACAGAACAAAGAGGGTGGCAGAAAGTGGGAGGAAGCAAGGGAGAGCATGAAGATACCCTTAGAGGGGCATCGAGTGGGAGATCTACTGCCACCTCCCTGGTGAGGATTCCCCTGTCCTTGGGGAGCACCTCGAAGAGGAGGAAGTGATTCCACTTCAGGACCCACAGGGTCAATGCCCTCAGTAGCTGTTTTCACATGTGATCATTTGCGTCCTATTTAGACTTCAAGAGATTTTTCCAGGTCCCAAGCTTAATTTGTGGTTTATAATGAAAGTAGTGGATGATATATGCCCCCCCCACACACTGTTGCCATCCTCACTACCTCACTCTCAGTAGGGATCCTGGGGGCCCAGGCCGGTAGCAGGGCTGGAACAGCAGAGGACAATGGCCCGAGTTCCTACAACGGTGCTCTGGGCAGTGTGAGTGGCCCTGTACTACCACCGAGGCTGCCTGTTGGAGGGATCAGAGACCCTGTCGGGGAATCTTACCGGGCATGCGGCCACCTGCATCATGGCATCCAGGCCACCCTCGGGGGCGTCCAGGTTCCCAGAAATCAGCTGCTTTCCAACCTCTGTCTTAAACTGGTTGGAGTTGTTGGTCAGCTTCAGCACATGCCGGAAGGCAAACGGGGCCTGGCACTCCTTCTCCTTTTTGGGACATGGGTTCTTCAGCTTCTCAGGGTGCGTATTGACAAAGGGCAGCACTGTTTTGTCCACAAAGGAGCCAAAGCCTGAGGGACACACAGTGTGAAAGGGGGACACGGTGTCAGAGGGGATACGTGTTATGAGAGGGACACGCAGTATAAGGAGGACCCTGTTGTGAGCAGGGACATGTGGTGTGAGGAGGGAAATGCATTGTGAGGGGATATGTGGTGTAAGGGGGACACACGATGAGGGAGAATACATGGTGTGAAGGGGACACACAATGCAAAGGGGATACATCGTGTGAGTGGGGGCACTTGGTATGAAGAGATATGCTGTTAGAGGGACACGGTCTGAGAGGGACTGTGGTGTGAGGGGGTATACAACATGTGAGGGGAATACACAATGTGAGGAAGGAACACAGAGTATAACATTGACATTATAATGTAGACACACGGTCTGAGGGGGCACACAGGGTATGATATAGGGACATGCAGTAGGAAGCACTCAGTGTGAGACAGGGGACAGGACAGGAGCATAGGCATGTGGTATGAGGTGGGGACACATGGTATGAGGCAGGAGTGAGGTGTGTGGCAGGGATGTGCAGTGTGAGGCAGGTTGGGTGGGTAGCCTCGTAAAGGTGAAGGCAGGAAGAGATGGGCAGGCCTCTTACTAGGGCAAAGGAGAAAGCAAGATGGTATGTATAATTGTGTGTTGTTGTTGTTGTTGTTGTTGTTTGCCGTCGAGTCGGCCCCGACTCATAGCGACCCCTCCTTGGGTTTCCGAGGCAGTATCACTACGGAAGTAGGATTGCCCAACCTTAATTGTGTGAGTGTTCATGTAATGGTGTATGAAAATGTGCAAGCACACATGTGTGATCATGTGTGTACATGTACGAGCACGAGTGTGTGCATTCATGGATGTGTATGTGCAAGTATGTGTGCATTCATGTGTGTGAGTGTGTTTCCCTGTCTCTGACCTCCTGCACCCTCAGCCCCAAACTGTACAATGGAGTATTCAGTCCCCTCAGCTGGGAAAGAAGGAGCTGCACAGGGTGTGCCATTACTTTCTTTAGCTCTATGACTATTGTGAAATCTATATGCCTTTGTATCCTTTAATTTTTCAATAATTAGCATAGTAAGACTTTTATCTTTCAGCAATATCAAAGACAAATGAAAGGAGGAGAGGGAGATGGAAGAGAAAGTGGAGGGGCCTACACAATGCCAAAAAAATCTCTGGGAGTGATGACGCTACGAACACCCCTTCAGATACTGTATCTGGAGGCACCTTAGTGTCCCACCCCCAGGACAGGTGCATATAAGGGGAGTGGCCCCAGGGCTGGGGAAAGGACTGAGCCAGTGGCCCTGGGCAGCCCGACCTCACCGATGCGGCCCGACTCAGTGATTTCGTTGAGGGCCCTGAGTAGGTCGCCCCCCAGCTTCTTGACATTGATGAGGTCATCGAGCATGGAGTAAGAGAGGTCCATCAGGTAGTATAGGTCGATGGGGTAGCCCTTGGCCCGCCGGAAGGTCACATTGAACATGGCAGCCTGGCCTGTCAGGGGAGGGCAGGAGTGAGCAATGCCACAAGGCCCAGTGTGCATGCATCAGGGGCTTAGAACCGGCATGCAGCCAACAAGAAGGCTGGCCTAACACCCCCTCTCCACAAGTCCTGAAATCTTAGGACTATCTCGTTTCATCACAGCCTGGCACATGGGTTGCAGGTAAGATACAAGTGCACAGTGAGGCTTGAGTTTCACTAAATCAGTACTGATTTTCTTTTTAGCATGAAATGAAAAACCAAACTCATTGCCATCAAGTCAATTCTGACCAATGGTAATTCCATGTGTTAGAGTAGAACTGTTTCACAGTTTTTTTTTTTTTTTTTTTTGGCTGTAATCTACTTTATGGAAGCAGGTCACTAGACCTTTTGCAGAACTGTTGTTGCTGTTGAGATCAAACTGCTAACCCTTAGGTTAGTAGCTGAGTGCAAATAGTTTGCCCTACCCCTAGACCTTTTAGCATAGATGTGTCTGAAATGCAAGAGAGTTGGGTGAAACAGTTTGCTTTGGGTTACTAATCTAAAGATTGGTGGTTCGAACCCACCCAGAAGTGCCATGGAAGAAAGACTTGGTGATCCGTTTCTGTGAAGATTTCAGCCAAGACAACTGTATGGAGCTAAGTTCTGCTTTGTAACCTTGGGGTAGCCATGAGTCAGAATCAGCTGGATGGCAACAGGTTTGTTTTTGTGGTATATGTCCCAAATAAAACCACGTCTATGCAGACAGTGGAGTGGGGAATCTGCTGGCGGCTGGAGAGAGAGTGGGAGTCTTGGTGGGACTCAGACTTTGGTCTCAGGTGTGCAGCAAAGCTCAGGCCTGAATTCCTGTGGCCTCACCTGATTCACCTTGCTGTCCCAACCAAAACATGAACACGGTTGAGCCTGGCTGGACCCTGAAACAGGACATACAGGGCACTGGGTCCAGCCCGCTAAGGCCAGCCTACCTGGTCTCAGGTAAAGTGTCACAGTCTGTGGGGACAGCTGCTTGCGGTTTCCCACCCAGTCCTCCTGAGCCTCAACAAGGCTCTTGGGGTCCACGATGTCATCAGACACACAGCCCTTCAGGAGCAGCTGGTCCCTGGTGTCACAGCGGATGGAGTCAGGTTCCCCACGCCCAGTGAAGTTCTGGGGGGCAGAGGGGTCAAGAGGAGGGCAGAGAGAATCACCCAGATGCCACACTATAGGCATGACAAGAGCTAACCCTAAGGGACAGATGACCATCCCTGGCCTCTCCTCATCTGCATCTAGGACAGGGCACAAGTCCACTGCTATAGACACCCACCTTCCAGACAGGCCTCCCTACAGTTCCCAGATTACATCTAGCCTTCAGGGCCCCAGTGGACAAATATGGAACAATCTGAGCATCAAAATGAAACAATGATAGTGATGGGTTCTAATGTATTGAATAAAATAAAATTCCTGGAGCCACACCCATAGAATTAAGTAAAGCATTTCTCTCCCCCTCCCACCCGTTTCCTGTTGCCCCCACCAGTAAAAGAACCCTCGGTCATATCCTCAGATCATAGCCAATTCAAAGAGGGTACTCTTGGTGTCGAAGCCAGGAATAGCATCAGCATCACTGGGCACCATAGCTTGACGGCCATAGCTCTGGGCTAAGCCCAGTGTTGGATAACCCAATATGCAAGGTAAGCACAGGCTTACTTGTGTTTACTTACCAATCTACAGTGAACAATTTCACAGTTTTTCACATCAAAAATTCTGCTTCTAGGTGTGGCTGGCATCTGTCTCTCTCCCAACCCCACAACATCTTACAGAACCAAAGCCTCTTTTCAAATTTACAATCCCTGACAGGGATGGAATACCAAGTAAGCAAGATAAGCATGGGCTTATTAATCTGTAGTGAACAGTTTCACCTGTTTTTCACTCCAATAAACTCACTTAAATAAACATTAGGTAATCCGTCCCTTGCCAAACTCCTCACAGCTCAGAGAGACACAAAAGTTCGAAGGAAGTGTGGGATTCTGGGTTCATGGCTTATTTCCCTAGACCATTTTGCCTCATAGGACTCCTGGGTCCCCACAGGGCAGAAGAAAAGAGGATACCATGCTAGGTGGATCCTGAGCACTGGCTGGCTATTTTAAACATATGTCGTTGTTAGTAGCTATAGAGTTGATTTTGACTCATGGCCACCCCAGGTGCATAGAGTAGACCTGTGCTCCATAGAATTTTCAAGGCATGACCTTTGAGAAGCAGATTTCCAGACCTGTCTCCTGAGGCACTGCTGGATGGGTTCACACCATCAATCTTGCTAACCAGAAAGCTGGCAATTCAAATTCACCAGACACTCCTTGGAAGGAAGACTGGAAGGAATCTACTAAGGAGGGGTTGCTATGAGTCAGAACTGACTCAATGGCAATGAATTTGGTTTTTCAGTTGGTTACAGGGTGCTTAACCGTATGCCCGGAGCTCTGGTAGCACAGTGCCTAAGGTACTTAACTGCTAACCAGAAGGCTGGTGGTTCAAACCCACCAGCCACTCCTCGGAAGGAAGGTTGGACAATCTACTTCCATGGTGACACTGCCTCAGAAATCCAAGGAGGGGTTGCTATGAGTTGGGTCTGGCTCAATGGCACATAACAACAACAACAATAACAACAACCGTATGCCCCAGACAGGGACTCCTGTTAAACATACTGCTAAGAAAATATACATGGTGGTTCAGTAGTAGAATTCTTGCTTTGCATGTGGGAGACCCAGGTTTGATTTCTGGCCAATGCATCTCATGTGCAGTGACCGCTCATCTGTCAGCGGAGGCTTGTGTGTTGCTATGGTGCTGATAAGGTTTCAGTGGAGCTAAGACAGATAAGGAGGAAAAGCCTGATGATTAACTTCCAAAAAGCAGCCAAAGAAAACCTTATAGACCACGGACTGGTTCCCAGCTGATCATGGGGATGGAGAAGAACCGGACAATGTTTAGTTTTGTTACACATGATGTCACCATGAGTCAGGACTGACTCACAGAAGCTAACAACAATAATCTGCTCACACTGACACAAGGAACCCAGGAAAGATAGCGCAGAGAGAAATGACATTGCTTATTGATAGTAGGTAGAGGAGTTTGATGAAGGGATAAGGAAGGGATGACACTTGCTGGGTGTGCCTCTTTGTACTGCTTTGACTTCTGACTGTAGTCATGCTTTAAGTACTCGAAACATTAAATCAACAAGAATGGGGAGATAAAAAAATATCTAAAATGAAGTACACACAGAAATAAATGAAGCTAATTGTATTTCAAATGAATAAAATAACCTCACTGAAGAGAGAGAGAAAAAGAGAGAGAGAGAGAAATCTTTACAGAAGCAGAGTACCTCATCTTTCTTCCATGGAGTAGCTGGTGGGTTCAGCCCGCCCACCTTTTGGCTAGCAGCCAAATGCCTTAACCACTACCCCACCAGAGCTCCTTCATCAAAGAGAAACAAACAAACAAAAAACCCCAAACTCATTGCTGTCAAGTTGGATCTGACTCCTAGTGACCCCTCCTTGGGTTTCTGAGTTATTATCTCTGTGGAAGTAGATTGCCCAATCTTCCTTCCAAGGAGTGGCTAGTGGCTTTTAACCACCAGCCTCCTGGTTAGCAGTCATATGTGTTAGGCACTATGCCACCAAAGAGAAGGAAGGAAAAATAAAGAAGGTTTGAATCCCAGGACTTTGACCACACCCCTTAGCTGAAAGGAAGAGGGACAGCAAATCATACATGACTTCTTCTTCTTCTTCTTTTTTCTTAAATATGGAACAGTTCACAAATTTGCATGTCATCTTTGAGAAAGGGGCCATGCTAATCTTCTCTGTATTGTTCCAATTTTAGTGTATGTGCTGCTGAAGCAAACATAGTATATGACTTCTTATCTGCAGGCTTCTGTAGCAGTGAGTCAGCTAGTGCCCCGGGGCTGTTATCTATGGATTGAAGGAGCAAGAAAATGAGAAATGTACTGAGAAAGTTGGGTGCCAAGTTTCTCAGGAAAAGGGACAGGGATTTCTCAGAAAATGTCTGACTCTAGTACAGGGGTGAGGGAAATACTAGAGGAGCCTGGAAGGTCTTGTTTTTCTAGAAAGTAAAGACAGGCTCACAAAATGACAGGGCCACAGGAGCTGGACTGGAGAGGCTTCCATTGGCCGCATCAGGAACAATTCGAGCATCAAAATGAAAAGATGATACTGAGCCATAAAGAGAAAGGTAGCACAACTACATGCTACAACATGGATGAACCTAGGAAACAGGGTGCAAACAAAATAAATCAGCACGAATGACAAAGCTTGTATGATCCCACTTAGGTGAGAGGTCTAAAATGGGCAAATGCATAGAGAACAAAGCACATCCATGGTGACCAGGGGCAGGGAAGGTGAGAATGGAGAGCAGTTACACAATGGATGCTGAATTTCTGTTTGGGGTGATGAAAAAGTTTTGGAAATAAATAGTAGTGATGGTTGCACAACATAGTGAATATAATTAATGTTACTGATTGGGCACTTAAAATGGTAAATTTTGTTATATATATTTTTAACACAATAAAAATGAAAATGGTTGTGATATGAATAAAATTTCAGAAGTTTAAAAAACATTTAAGTGTTGAATAAAATAAAAACCCCATAGGTCTATACTGATAAGGTATAGACAAAAGTAAAATATATAGATGATGAGATAGATGATAGATAGGTAGATAGAGAGAGAGAGATATTGTTGTTGTTAGGTGCTGTTGGGTTGGCTTCAGCTCATAGTGACCCCATGTACAACAGAACAAAACACTGCCCAGTCCTGTCCCAGCCTCACACTCCTTACTATACCTGAGCCCATCATTGCAGCCACTGTGTCAATCTATCTTGTTGAGGGCCTTCCCCTCCTTCACTGACCCTCCACTATACCAAGCATGATATCCTTCTCCAGGGAATGGTCCCTCCTGACAACACAACCAAAGTAGGTGAGATGAAGGCTGGCCGTTTTCAATTCCAAGGACTAAAAGTCCCTTCTTACATTAGAATGTCAATTATTAAAAGTAGAAGGATTAAAGGCATTAGAACATCACCACTTTGTCACTATCACAGTAAAAACTGACTCAAGAAGAATCTTCAATGGAAGGTAAAGTTGGTGGGTGCATGTTTGATGGGAAACAGGATATTTATCAGCCTACAAGTATCTCCCCACAAATCCTGTGGTTCTTACCAGCTTCTGGCACCAGGCGCAGCCAGGCCCCAACTCCACGCACTCTCGACAGGTGCTGACCTTGTACTTCATGCATTCCTGGGGCAGAGCTAGGGGGCAGACAGGCCTGTGAGCAGTGGCCATAACCCTGGCCCAAGTCCACTGAATGGGAGAAGGAAGGAGGAAAGGTAGCCTCCCCCACCCCACTCCACAAGCTGTCCTAATGCAGTGGAAAGGGGACTTGGACATTTATTTCTACAGATAAACCATCCATAAACTCATCTACAGAGGACAGAGGTGGGTGAAGTGGGAGGAGCATGAGAAGCTGTGAGGGAGGGTAGAAACAGCAGCAGGTGGACAGTAGGTGGGAACAGGGGGCTGATATGGGGGCTAGGAGGAGCTCTGGAATAGGATTTGGGAAGACTGAAGATTTTAAGCAGGGAAGTTCTTGATGGTATCTGTCCTTTAAATAGAGCCCCTCTGGCTGCTGGGAGGACATATGGGGGCACTGCTGGTGTCTGGGGACAGATGATGGTGGTTTGGGACAAGAGTGTAGAGGCAAGTGTAGGAGAAATTGTGGGATTCTGGGTAAATGTGGACAACGGAGATGGTAGAGTTTGGAGGACTTGTCAATGAGATGGATTCAGGCTATGAAGACTGGAGAGGGGTGTTGGGGGGGATGTAGGCTGTGGCTGTGCTGGGGGAGGGGACACAGGTGTTTTGGGATCAAGCACCAAACCTCTGTTGTGGGATTGGTGAGCTAAGGTGCCTGGTAGACCTTCTAGCAGAGATGCCTGTGAGCACTGAGGAGGGAGGACTGCGGGATCTGATCAAGCTCAGGGGAGTGGGGGTTGGAGGTGGAAATTTGAGGTGCAAAGGTAGAATTTAGAGCCATGGGGGTGGCACACTGAGACAGGAGCTGAGGGTGGGTACAGGGAGTGAAAGGCCAGGCTGCTCCAGGGCCAAGCCCCCAGCCAAGGGGAGGTGAGGAGAAGGGCTTGCAGGAGATTGAGAAGGAATGGACAGAGGAGAAAAAATTAGTGAACTCATTGGGAGAGATCTCAGCAGAGGGGTCCTGAATGGAGGTGCAGAGTGATAGCTTGGAGACATTGAGGTCACCACTCCTGACATGTAGGGAGACTGAGGCCCATGTCTAAGAGGTAGTCCCAGCAGTACAGTCTTCCTGAGCATCCCTGGAACTTTGTTCAGTGGTTCCCATTCTTCCCACCCAAGAACTCACTGGACCTGATGAACAGCAGGCCTGTCAATGTGAGCAGCAGGGTACAACGGCCCAGCATGACCTGTGGAAGAAAAGGGTCTTGGTGACAGAGTTCAGACTCCAGGCCCACAGCACCAGACAACCACTCAATCACACCTATGGCATCCATGAGCCCCTCACGTGGCCTGGGGTGCCTGCAGGAGAACTTCTCCCTGCTCTGAGGGTGTTCAGACTGGGTTAGGGAAGACATGGACCAGCCCTAACCCCACACAAGGGAGTTAGGCTCTAGGAGGATCAGGGAAGCTTCGTACCACGGCTCCCACAATCATGCACCTGCACTCCACTGAGTAGCAAGCTGGATTGGTTGTGGCCTTGATGTACTCAGTGTGGGCTGAGTCCCCAACTGGAGGGACTTGAGTTCTACACCCAGGTCCCTCAACAGGTGGCAGGGCTGGACTAGGAAGAGAACAAGCCTCACTGAGTGCTAACTCTGTGCCTGACAATGCTGGATGAGCATCCCAGATACCTTGCCAAAAGTTCCATAGACCTGTCCCAGCCCCTCGCTACCAGGCCCTGCTATTTAGTTCCTCCACCCCCACCCCCACACCATCCTGAGCAACCCTGGGCTCTGTGGATGAGCTAACAGGGCTTCAGCAGCAGAGGTTGGTTTAACTGGTACTTGCTGTCCAGATGTCCCGAAGGTCAGGATAATTCAGGGCCTGAGCCTAGAAGGGTATCTTCCTAACACTCCACACTGCTGTGGGGCAGGAGCTGGCCAAGGTGTATCCCCCTGCCTCCCTTGGGCTCTGCATCTCCTACCTTGCAGTGCCTATGGCCTTGGAACTGAGGTGAGGGCTGGCCCTGACTTAGACATGGCCAAAAGCAGCATGTCCCACCCAAGTCAGATCCTGTGAGTGGTGCAGGCTGTCTGGGCAGGGGCAGGCATGGGGAAGCAGCTCTGACTCCCCAGGACTCAAAGCACAATCTTTCACAGGTGCTGAGTTGGGAACACAGCTGGTTGCTAGTCCTTTTATCTGAGACCCAGGAGGGGAGAGTTTGCTGAGTGGCATGCAGGAAGTGATATTTATCTTACAGGGCTGTGTTTGTGTACAGAAAAGGGCCAGCATATGTTACCCACTAGTGCCAGTTCCTCTGAGACCAGGCTCCTGAGGTGTCCAGTCCCCTCCCATGGGCTGCCCTGGTGGTAGTGGGTTTGACAGGGTTGCCTCAGTGGCCTAAGGCTGAGGAAGCCAGGCCTCTTGCCATGCGACAAGTCTTCCTGGGGTTCATGGGACCCCTCATCACCATACTGGGACCCTTCTCACCCTTTCTTCTCGGGGACTGATGCATTTATGGTGGGATGTTCAAGTTGGGGAGGACTAGCCAGAGGCCCTGCCCAACCCTAGTTCCTTTTTGTTTGGTTTTTGTCTTAAAGTCAATTTGATCAGAAATTAATATCGCCACTCCTGCTCTTTTACAGTTGCCATTTGCTTGATATATCTTTTTCCAACCTTTGATTTTTAGTCTATTTTTGTCTTTGTCTCTAAGGTGTGTCTCTTGTAGACAGCATATTGACGGGTTTTGTTTTCTTATCCAATCTGCAACTCTCTGTCGCTTGAGTGGTGCATTTAATCCATTAACATTCAGAGTAATTATTGACAAGAATGAATTGGTTGCTGTCATTTTGTTATGTGTTTTTTTCATGGTGTCCCTGGTTTCTTTGTTCCATATTATTTTCTGTGCTGAGCTCAATATGTTTATGAATCATATTATCATTTTCTTTATTGCTGTTATTTTAGTATTTGCTGAATGTTTGTGCTTGTCCTCTTTTTTATTGTGATGTGAAGGCTTATCATTTTTCTTTGAGGTTAGACTGTGATTTATAATTTTCTCCCTGAGATTAGAATAGTCCATTTTATCTTGAAACTCTTTTTACTTCCTCACCATTTAGAAGTTCTGTAACTACACAGTATTTTCCCTCTTTTTGGTTTGTAGTTGTCCTCCCTTGCCAATTGATGTCTCTGGTTCCCTGTTTATAATCTTGTAAGCTTATTTTACTTTGGATATGTCCATAGCTGTGGTTTCTGGGTTATGTTATCTTGTGTATTAATGGTCAGTTGTCATTTGCTATTTTTGGTTCCCTGTTCAAAGGACTCCCTTTAGTATCTCTTGTAAGGTTGGTCTGGTATTAACAAATTCCCTTAGTTTCTGCTTATCGAAATCTCCTAATTTCACCATCATATTTGAGGGACAATTTTGCCAGGTATATAATTCTTGGTTGAAAAATTTTTCTTTCAGGGTTTTATATATACCATCCCATTGCCTTCTTGCATGCATGGTTTCTGCTGAGAAATCAGAGCTTATTCTTACTGGTTGTCCTTTTAAGTAACTTTTTGTTTTCCCCGTGCTGCTTTCAGGATTCTGACTTTGTCTTTGGTTGTGATGAGTTTGATGATGATATGTCTTGGTGATTTTCTTTTGGGGTCCATCCTGTTTGGGGTTCTTTGGACTTCCTGAATGGATATGTTCTCATCTTTCATCACATCAGGGAAATTCTCCTCCAACAAATCTTGTACAATTTTCTCTCTGGTTTTATTTTTCTCTTCCTGTTCTGGAATTCCAATGACATGTAGGTTATTCTTTTTGAAGGTGTCCCACATGATCCTTAGGCTTTCTTCATTTTGTTTTGATCTTTTTTTCTGATTGATCCCTTTCCAAAGAAGTATTCAGGTCTTTTTCTTCAATCTCATTAATTCTGTCTTCCATTGCATCAATTCTACTCCTTTGCCCTTCCAATGTGTTATGTATTTCTGACAATTTAGTATTAATCTTCTGGATTTCTATCTGTAGATTTAGAATCATTTCTAATTTTTCATTTATTTTGTCATTTTGTTCTTGTATTTTCTTCCAAAATTCTTCTAGGGATTTGTCTGTGTTTTCCTTGATCTGTCTCTCAATCCCTTGAAGATACCTAAATATAATTCTTTTGAATTCCTTATCAGAGAGTTCTAATGCTGCTTCTTCTTCAGGGATGTGTTCTGGGTCTGTATCTTTCTCCCTTGTTTCTACCACTTTATCTTGCTTTTTTGTGTGGACTGTGATGGTCTGTTGTCTCTGAGACATCATGGCATTGTTGTATTTAGCTCTCTGTTAACTGTTTGTGAAGAGCAGCCAAGGGTGGTTCAGGCTCTTCTTGGTGGTTGTTTATCATTGTCCTGTTGATAGAGAAGGAAGTGGTGACTTTCACTCAGTAAGTGAAGCTGCAGGTGGTGTGGGTGTAGTTGTATCGTACGGGGACTGTTGCTGTCTTCTACTTTGTTAGACAAAAATAACAATTAAATAACCATCAAAAAAGTAAAAGCACATGGACAAAAAATACATTGTGTATCACACAGGAACAGTAACCAAAAAAAAAAAAAAAAGAAAGAAAGAAAAAGGGGAAAAAGAAGGATAAAAGAAAAGAAAAAACCCCTGCAATACCTGGGGAGAGGGCAATAAGAGAAAAAAGGTAGAGAAGGAGAATAATGTAGGAAAAATGGGCAAAATGGAAAAAGAAAAGCAAGGAACCAGGTTAACCACAAGAAAGAAAAAAAGTTGCAATCAGGAACAGGGAAAAGAAAAAAAGCTGAAAACTAGAACCTGGGAGGGGAATAATAAAGAATAATAGTAAAAAGGACAAAAGTAATAATACTAATGGTAGACAAAAACAAACAAACTAAAAAACAGAAAAAAAGAAAAAAAAAAAAATTGGGGCAGAGCACCCAGGCTCCGTCCGAGTACACAGACTGGGATGGAGTTCCTGCTGGCCCACAAAGTGGGTAGGAGTGAGGGATGGCCACACCTCTGTTCACCAAGAGGGTGTGGGGTATAAGAGCAACAAGGGGAATGTCACACCTTTCCAGTCGTCCTGGAGTGTCCTTGGGGTTCCTGGCAACTGGAGCCTGTCCTTAAGTTCCTGGAATCTGGGAGAATGCTGTTGCTTTAATATCCAAAATGGTCAAGTCACTTGTAAACATTCAAAATGGCTGCACCCTCCAGACAGAGAAAAGTCCACAGCTCAACCCTCCTTCCTCTTTGCTGCTTTCCTTTTTATTCCCCAGCCACCAGAGCAGTCCTCTGTATAGTCCCTGGCTAGCAGGGACAATTTTTAGGTTAATTCTTAAGTCCTACCACCACTCAGCAATATGCAAGCTGTCTGTGCTGTCAGGATCACTGCCAGATTGCAGCTCCGTATATCTCCTTTTTTGGTGTTTTAATGCAAATTCTTCTGTTAATTGGAGTTTAGTCCACTTCTATATCCTTCTTTTCAACAGTCAGGGATCCAGGATTATCTTCTGTATCTGTGTTAATTGGTTCCTCTTTTCTTTGTTGAAGAGGGTCTGCACAATCTTTCTACCTATTCCACTGTCTTACTGGAACTGCGCCTGTTTGTTTGGAAATAGCCACTCCCCAGTCCCTCTTAACATTGCAGTCAGGACCCACAGGTGTCAAAATGAAACCCTTGGTCCTTTCCATTTCGGGATCAAAAGCAGAAGCCACTCTGGGAGCACCTTGTGCCCTATCTGACTTCCTAGGTCATGTAGGTGAGAGTGGCAGTGGTGTTCTCAGTTTACTTCCAGCCTAGCCTGCTGGTAAAAGTCTCTCTTTGAGGTGGAGGGCTCAGTCTTGTGCCAGCCCCTACTGTCCCTCTGTGCCCTCCAAAGTTCCCTGGCTAGACTGTCCTCAGGTCACAAGTCAGGGCTGCCAACCCCATAGCTGACCTAAAGGACTTTCTCCTGACCAGATACCAGTGCCATCCTGGGACCCACACCTGAGTACCCATTCTGAGCACAAAGTATATTGGCCTCAGGACAGTCCCCTCTTCCAGGGCACTAGCAGCCGAGGGCAGGGGGCACCACTCCTCATGACACCCCAACCATGTACGTGGGCTAACAGGGCCAGAAGCCCCTGAGTTCTGGATAAAGACCCAACCCACAAACAGCTTGTGTTCTCCCTGGGTCGCATAACCACACCGCCCCCTCCCTCCTATAAACTCTCATAATGACCAGCAGGCCAAGGTCCTGGTGACCTGTTTCCATA